TGGTCTTCGAAGCGCCACGGTCTAAACTTCTCGGCATGGCACCGGGGCCTGCATAAAATTATCAGGTAAGCCACATATCTATGTCCCGCCATTGCAGGGAGCCCACGCTGGCGCGGACTGCTGATACTTGATTGAGCTGGCTACGCGTCCAGCCCATTCGAGCACACGGTTTAAATAAACGCAATCCCAACTCACTCAACCTGCGGAACTCAGGAGATGATTCCGAAGCCTGATTACTCCAGCGAGATGTTCCTCCAGGAAGCCCTCCTCGAAATCCAGGTACATGTCCTCCTCCACCTCCTCCATCCTGGGGGCTGCTCCGGGGCCTTCTGGAGCCTCGCGTCAGGGGCGCTGATTGTCTCCATTTCTGCCGAGGCACTCTGCGCTCCGTCTTGATCTGGACGGCCCAAATCTTGCTGGGGCGGGCCAAAGTGGGGCGCAGCGTGCTAATGTTGTAGATCAAAGCATGCAGGACGAACTTGCGCAGCAATCGTGATCTCTTGCTCGCAGTCCTTGCCCTTGCCGCGGGCGCTCTCTCGCGTTTCGCGAGAGCACGCGAGGCAGCCCCGATGCGACGTTTGACTTCGAGCGAAGCGCGGCAATCGAACGCGACGCACTGGCCCGGCACCTTTCATGTCCACATCCTGGGGGGCACAGGGGATGGCAACGAGGGATAGAGAGGCGCATTCCTGGGCACGACGTCTCTTGTGAGGTTTCACGGATTTCGAGGCCTCGAGGACCTCACCAGCCCATGGGTCGTGCACGTGGAGAGGCCGAGATTGGTCGGTCGTGGAGATCCACTCCAACCTCCGAACCAGGGCACGCCATGCGTCTAACATGAGGGCCGTGGATTATATCAGGCAGCTGGTGATCGAGAAATTGTCCGCGAAGACATACAGAACCTCCGGATCTCGGGGGTCTCTCTGGAAGGCTTGGCATACATATACGCGCGGCGGTCAAGGGCGCGAAGGCCCTCGCGCTCCGGGGGGTGACGCCATCCACGGGCCCTGCAGAGGCCCAGGATGGGATGTCCAACGCGTGTTCCATCATGATGTTGAATTTGCGGGGCCCGTCGGGATCGCCACGGCAAATAGACTGGGCCCTGGACAGGGGGCGCAGCGGCGATGGGCGAGGCGCAACGAGGCGGCCGCGCCCGCGCCTGACCTCGCGCACCATGCCTGCCGCAAGAACATCGGGCACTGCAGCGAGCTCAAAGGCATGACACCAGAGACAATGGTCCACGCAGCCCCAGCTGCCACGCGCACCAGCACGTCAAATTCCAGAGCGTTTTCGACCAATGGACGCAGCATGACAATAACCTCGGCCGTCTGGCGCCCAGGGCGACAAGCAGACTGGCGCGGCGACGAGGGCGCGCTAGCTAGAGACCGCAGCTCCGAGACGCACAACATAGAGGACTTCCGAAGGAGACAGCGCTGCCGCGGGTCTCCATTTCTCGGCGCGCAGGCGCTTAACCATTTTATCAACTAAGTGCGCGCCGCGAACATTCCACCCACAGGGCACCTCGAGAGCTGGATCGCCCAGAAGGCGGAGCTCGAAAAGGGCCGCGACGTTATTATCGAAGTCGTCGGAGGCGTCCATTGGCATCTCTACCGCTAGTAGCTCGCTCCGAGGACGCGACTTGCCTTTTCAAATTTCTAGACTCACCTGTCTCACTCTCGCCCGTGCGACCCCCCCCACCTCGCCGAGCTCCCCCAATCGTCCACGCCACCACAATCCAAGCGGGAAAGGCTATCACATTCCTGGAGCGACGTAGATCTTCGAGAAAAATCTACGATTGCTCCGCCGCGCCCGCGGCGAGGTGGCCCTGCAAGTTAAATAAGGGCCCTCACCACGTCGATGGAGAAGCCGATTTGCCACTGCCCCCGCGCGAGGTTCCATTCGCAGTCGCGCGCGCAATGCTGGGCAGCCAGTCGACAAGGCAAAAGACATTCAGCAACACTGGAAAACGCCGCAATCGCGAATCCTCGGACGGCCCCCTAAGAGTCTGGACATGCCCCAGCGTTTGTCGGGCAGGGCTGGGTCGCCGGCTCGGGCGGGGTCGCCGGGCGCGCGCGACCCCGGGAATCGGCAGCCTGCGCGACAGCGCCCGCGACGCAAGATGCGGAGGAAAGAGTCTGGCCCTGTCGGCCCGTCAGAGGTCGGAACACTTCGCCCGCCACGGGGGTCGGCGGCGGGGCTGCCTCAGGCGAAGCCGGCGCGGGCTCGGGGCCCCTTCGGCGACGGCGGCGTTCACTGGGAGGGGGGCGGGCAGCGGGGGCCACGGCTTCGGGGCCGCCTTGAGCGGCGAACTGCGGCAAACACCCCCAGGGATGTCCTCCGGCGTCGGAGGGAGCCAGGGCGCCCAGGATGGCCTGCCGGCGGGCCCGGGAAGACAATGCGAGGTAAGTCTCGAGGGTTCTCTCGAGAGTGGGCCCGCAGCTTGCCCCCCAACGTTGTCTGCGCAGAAGTTGCCCGCGCCCGCCGTGCGGGCCTTTCCCCACTCGGACAAGCAGACCGCGCGGCGCCTTCAAACTTCAGACCAGAGGCCGCGCAGCAGCGCGACCAGGGCCAGGTTGCGGAGGGGATCCCACCTGCCCCGGATGACCTGCTGAACGCAGCGGCTGTCGACAACGAACTTAATATGGGCCTGCGGCTGGATCGCCCGACCCCCGGCAGGCAACGACAACTGGCGCCGGAGCCAGAAGCGCGCCTCGATCCGCCGAATTGCTGGATTCCGGGAGGCCGTCCAAGAACAAGGGCTCCGAGGACCCCAAGACGACGGAGCCGCGGGCTGAGGCCAATGGATCTTCACCCCTGAGAGGTCCAGCGGCCCCGAGTAAAGCGAAACCCCGGCCAGCTCGGCACAGAAGTCTATCCCGAGTACGCTTCCGAAACCCAGGCACTGCTTCGCAGAACGCCCCGACCAGGAAGAGACCGAAGGCTTCCCAGCCCTGGAACAGCGCGCGGGGCGCGGTCGAAACGACCAGGAGGTCGTCTAACATGTCACGGTACGCCGCCGGGTCCGAGCACTGCCAGTTGATGGGTTCAGGGTGCTCGAAGGCGAAGGTAGCCGCGCCCGTCCAAGAACTCATGGGGTTCTTGACCATCACGGCGATATGGATAGGCACGTGGTCCGATGCAGCAGCCGTGGAGAAGTCCACCGCGGCCTTCAGGGAGCCCTTAGGGAAACCACAGACAAGCACATAGCCGATCTGCGCAGGGCCTCTACACTGGCCAGGGTCAAGGGGATGGGTGCAAGGTCCATGGCGACAACGGTGACACGCATTTTCAGCACGCAGGCCTATCCGCATCCTCCGTCCGAATCTCAATCTGAGCACCCTGCTGAGCGGTCACGTCCTTGAACATCCCGCCCATGACCTTCGGGAGGCGTGCCTGGGCGTCGTGTAGGCCGTGCTCACAAGCGCGGGCGAAGGCGAACGTCTCCACGTTCCACGGCTGAGATGCTGCCACCGTGCGGCGCTGTCTCCTCTCCGTGTTGAGCGAAGCAGACGTACTTTCCCTCTGTGGCTCCGCACCCTCGTCAGACAGACCCTTCAAACCCTGAAAGTTCGCACCACCAGCTGGACTCCCTGCAGCAGAAGCGGACGCTGCACCAGAGAACCTGGCAGCACCGATGAAAAAAGCGGTGACAGACAGAACGGTGCTATGGTGGTTGGATGCGGCTGAGTCCTGAAACTTGCGCACTCGGACGTTCCTTGAGCCAAAATGGAAAAATGGAGGGGGAGTGAGGGAGGAATAAGAAGAGGATGTCGAGAAAGATCAGCAGCAGAATAAGCGGCACGAGCGGTTACGAGGGGAACACGGCAAAGAACGAAAAAAATACACAGACGGGCAAGCAGGAAGGCTCTCCCGTGAATGGGGAGCCGTGCTTGTCCCACTCTGCATTCGCCGGGCGGGTCTTCCGACGATCTTCCTTGTCCTGCTTTCCAAGCGTGCACCGCGAGGAGTGGCCATGGCCGTCCGCGCGGCCATCCCAGCGTGCGGGCCGACGACTGACGGCCATGGGCTCAATTCTTCTCTTACTGCAAACAACCCCGCCAGAAGCTGCCACCCCCTCGTTGAAACGACCATGTGCTCGATTCTGGGGCCTGGTTGCGGTCAAGCGCGTCTTGGACAGAGCGCCGTAGAAGTCGCTGGATCGAGCCCGATCTTGGGGGGCGGGCGGCGGTGGGCGATTGCCTGCCTCGTTGGCTCATGATGCGTGCATCCTGCACCTGGCTTCCTTCCTTTACCAGGTGGCCTCGTCCCGAGACGCGTGGGAAGACTCCTCCGCTCTCCGGCGCCTGTCCCTGGGCCGTCGCTCCCGCTCGACGCCCCGCGCTGCGTGCGCAAAACTCGACCGGTACACGGATGACGAACGGGTGGCGATTCCTTTCCAAGGGCTTTCTCCGATGTCCTTGCCCGAAGCTCGAGTTTGCGCAGCAGCTGCATGGATGGAGGCCGGCTCTTTGTGGAAACGGGGCCATCGCCTGAGACCCCCTTCCAGGCACGAACTTTGACATCGAGCACCGCTCACACGGATGCGGGGCACGCCCTGTTCAAAATGGGGCTATCGCTGGACACTCCCCTCAATGTTCTGGCCCTGCTGCTTTGCAGTTCTTAGGACTAGAAGGGAGTGGGAAGGGGATCCTTCACAAAGCGGGGCCTCGCCTGAATGGCAGACCCACGCGGCCTCCGTCTGCCCAGGGGGGCGTTTCCCGCAGCGGAGAGGAATACATGCAGAGACTCTGAAGAGGGGGCTTGGGACGGAAGGGTGCGTGGCAGCATCGTTGGCGCATCTTGGGTAGAACTACTCTGGTCCACCTCCATTTCCCCGTCCTCCTCCTCCTCCTCCTCCTCCTCCTCCTCCTCTTCCTCCTCCTCCTCATGCTCGTCATTGTCCTCGTCCTTATACTCTCCCTCCCCGTCCCTCCTCGAGTCCACCCCTTCCACGCCCCTCCCCCCCTCGCCCCCAGCAACCACAGCTCCCCATGCACTGCCTGCGGCCAGCAAGGGCGGATCGATCCAGCTCCCGCTCCCGCACCCAGCGCACGAAGCTGCCTCTGCCTCTGCCTCTGCCGGGGGATGGGCGAGCGCGAGACGGGGACAGCATGAGGGAAGGAAGAATGATGGGAAAGCGCTTCTTCTCACGACATGGTGGCGGGCAAATGCCGGCGTGTCCTGATCGACTGATCGCACGGCCGAGCCCAAGGAAGCCTGGCCTCGGCCAGCGGCTTCACTGGTGGTGACGTGCTACGCAAAGCAGGCGAAACCATTCCGCACCAGAGGCAGGACATGCAAGCAGAGGTGCGAAAAATGGGGGGCAGGCCCGTATACACACAGACACAGACACAGACACAGACACAGACACAGACACAGACACAGACACAGACACAGACACAGACACAGACACAGACACAGACATATCTATAGATATCTATAGATACATATATATATATACTGTATATAAATATACATATACAGGGGCCTGGCTGGGGGGGGTCCCGTTCGAGCCAGCGCCGAAGACGCTGTTTGAAAACTCTATTCGCCCAAGGAGCTGCGGTGACGCCTCTATTCCGCTGACGCATGGTGAAGCTCGTGGCGCCTCTACTCGGCCTGAAGGCTGAATTCCTCTAACGCCCATTGAAGCTCGTGAAGCCTCTATTCGGCCTGAAGCCTCTATTCGGCCTGAAGCCTGCATTCGGCCCGTGACGCCTCTATTCGGCCTACGAATTGCGACGCACTGATGGGGTGGCGACACTAGACGCCTCTATTCGGCCCGACGCCTCTGTTCCCCTGACGCCCATTGAACCTCGTGAAGCCTCTATTCAGCCTGAAGCCTCTATATTCCCGTGACGCCCATTGAAGCCCGTGAAGCCTTTATTCGGCCTGAAGCCTCTAGTCCCCTGACGCCCGGTGAAGCTCGTGAAGCCTCTATTCGGCCTGACGCCTCTAGTCCCCTGACGCCATTTGAACCTCGTGATGCCTGCATTTGGCCTGAAGCCTCTACTCCCCTGACGTCCGGTGAAGCTCGTAACGCCTCTGTTCGGCCTGAAGCCTGTACTCCCCTGACGCCCACTGAAGCTCGTGAAGCCTCAATTCCCCTGACGCCCATTGAAGCTCGCGAAGCCTCTATTGGGCCTGAAGCCTCTATTCCCCTGACGCCCGGTGAAGCTCGTGAAGCCTCTATTCGGCCTGAAGCCTCTATTCCCCTGACGCCCGGTGAAGCTCGTGAAGCCTCTATTCGGCCTGAAGCCTCTAGCCTGAAGCCTCTATTCCCCTGACGCCCGGTGAAGCTCGTGAAGCCTCTATTCGGCCTGAAGCCTCTAGCCCCCTGACGCCCGGTGAAGCTCGTGAAGCCTCTATTCGGCCTGAAGCCTCTATTCCCCTGACGCCCGGTGAAGCTCGTGAAGCCTCTATTCGGCCTGAAGCCTCTAGCCCCCTGACGCCCGGTGAAGCTCGTGAAGCCTCTATTCGGCCTGAAGCCTCTATATTCCCCTGACGCCCGGTGAAGCTCGTGAAGCCTCTATTCGGCCTGAAGCCTCTATTCCCTGACGCCCACTGAAGCTCGTGAAGCTGCTATTCGACCTGAAGCCTCTATTCCCCTGACGCCCGATGAAACTCCGGAAGCCTCTATTCGGCTGGACACTACTACTTCACCTCGGCCTCATTCTCCGGGATGCACAGCTAGGCTGGCTGCGTGCGACCGTGGTGCTTCTTAAACGCCTAACTGGTGGGCAGCGCCTAACAAAGGGTGCCGCACAGCAAATGGGGCACGTCTAACACCAAGGACTCTTTTTTAATCAACTTGGTGAGGGGTCTTGCCTAGCACGAGGTGCCGCACAGCAGATGGGGCACGTCTAGAATCAAGGATTCATGTTTAATCAACTTGGGGAGGGATCTTGCCTAGCAGAAGGTGCCGCGCAGCAGGTGGGGCACGTCTGACACCAATGATTATGTTTTAATCAACTTGGGGAGGGCTCTTGCCTATCAGAGGGCACCGCACAGCAAAGGGGCATCTCTAGCACCAAGGATTCTAATTTAGTCAACTTGGCGAGGGGTCTCGCCTAGCATAGGGCGACGCGCAGCAAAAAGGCATGTCTAGCACCAGGGATGTTGATTTAATCAACTTTGGGAGGGGTCTTGCCTAGCAGAAGGTGCCGCACAACAAAGGGGCTCACCTTGGAGAGGGTGCCGCACAGCAAAGGGGCACACCTAGCACCAAGGATTCATGTCTTATCAACTTTGGGAGGGGTCTTGCCTAGCAGAAGGTGCGGCACAACAGACGGGACACGCCTAGCACCCAGGACTCTTTTTAAATCAACTTGGGGAGGGCACTGGCCTACCAGAAGGTGCCGCACAGCAAAGGGGCATGTCTAGCACCAAGGACTCTCTCTTAATCAACTTGGCGAGGGGTCTTGCCTAGCATAGGGTGCCGCACAGCAATAGGGCATGTCTAGCACCAGGGATTCTGTTAAAATAAACTTGGGAAGGGGTCTTGCCTAGCAGAAGGTGCAGCACAGCAAAGGGGCTCACCTTGGAGAGGGTGCCGCACAACAAAGGGGCACATCTAGCACCAAGGATTCTTTTGCATCAACTTGGGGAGGGGTCTTGTCTAGCAGAGGGCACCGCATAGCAGATGGGGCACGCCTAGCACCAAGGATTTGTTTTATCAATTTGGGAGGGCCAGTGCCTAACAAAGGGTGCCACACAGCAGATGGGGCACGTCTAGCACCAAGGATGTTTGTTTTAATCAACTTGGGGAGGGCTCTGGCCTACCAGAAGGTGCCGCACAGCAGATGGGGTACGTCTAGCACCAGGGATTCTTTATGAAATCAACTTGGGGAGGGGTCTTGCCTAGCAGAAGGTGCCGCACAGCAGATGGAGCATGCCCAACACCAAGGATTCTTGTTTAAATCAACTTAGGAGGGGTCTTGCCGAGAAGATTGTGCCGCACAGCAGATGGGACACGTCTAGCACCGAGGATGTTTTAAATCAACTTGGGGAGGGCCATTGCCTAGCAGAGGGTGCCACATAGCAGATGGGGCACGTCTAGCACCAAGGATTTTGTTTTATCAACTTGGGAACTTGGGGAGGGGTCTTGCCTAGCATAGGGTGCCGCACAGCACATGGGGCACATCTAGCACCAAGGATTCTTTTTTAATCAACTTGGGGGTGGGTCTTGCCTAGCAGAGGGTGCCGCACAGCAAAGGGGCACGTCTAGCACCAAGGATTCTTTCTTTATCAACTTGGGGAGGGGACTTGCCTAGTACAGGGTGCCGCGCAGCAGATGGGGCTTGTCTGACACCAAGGACTCTTTTGTAATCAACATGCAGAGGAGCCCTGCCTAGCAGAGGGTGCCGCGCAGCAGATGGGGCGCGTCTAGCACCAAGGATTCTTTTTCAGTCAACTTGGGGATGGGTCCTCCGGGAGGGGTCTTGCCCAGCTGAGGGTGTTGCGCAGCAGATGGGGCATGTCTAGCAGCAAGGATTCTGTTTTATACAACTTGGGGAGGGGTCTTGCCTAGCAGAGGGCGTCGCACAGCAGATGGGGCACGTGTTGTGTTGGACACGGAAAGCGTAGAGCAAAATTGCAGCTTCAAATTAAAATTAAGAGGGGAGCGTGTTGAGTACTAGCCCTAGTGAAGGAAAGAAACATCTTCACAGAAGTAGCGTCTTCACCCGGGATAACGTCAGGGAATAGCGTCTTCACCTGGAATAGCGCTTTCACACAGAATAGCGTCTTCAGCGGGATTAGCGTCTTCACTGAGAATGGCGTACTCACCCGGAATAGCGTCTTCACCGGGAATAGCGTCTTCACCCAGAATAAGGTCTTCACAAGGAATCGCGTCTTCACCGGGAATAGCGTCATCACCCGGAATGGCGTCTTCACCGGGAATAGCGTCTTCTCTGGGAATAGCGTCTTCACCGGGGATAATGTCTTCACCCAGAATAGCGTCTTCACCCGGGATAGCGCCTTCACCCGGAAAAGCGTCTTCACCGGAAATAGCATCTTCACCCATAATAGCGTCTTCACCAAGAACAGTCTTCACCAGGAATAGCGTCTTCACCCGGAATAGAGTCTTCACACGAAATAACGTCTTCACCAAGAATACCGTCCTCACCTGGAATAGCGTCTTCACCACGAATAGCATCTTCACCAGGAATAGCGTCTTCACCCAGAATAGCGCCTTCACCCGGAATACTGTCTTGACAGGGAATAGCGTCTTCACTGGGAATAGCGTCTTCACTGGGAATAGCGTGCTCACCGGGAATAGCGTCTTCACAAGGAATAGCGTCTTCACCGGGAATAGCGTCTTCAACCGGAATAGCGTCTTCGTAAGGGAAATGCTGTCTGTGTCCGCAGAGCACGTCTTTACAGGGAGTAGCGCCTTCACCGGGAAAAATGTCTTCACCTGGAATAGCGTCTTCACCTGGAATAGCGTCTTCACAAAGAACAGCGTGTTCACCGGGAATAGCGTCTTCACTGGGAATAGCGTCTTCATAAGGGAAGTGCTGTCTACGTCCACTGAGCGCGTCTTTATAGGGAGTAGCACCCTCACCCGGAATAGCGTCCTCACCGGAAATAGCGTCCTCACCGGGAGTAGCGTCTTCACCTGGAATAGCGTCCTCACCGGGAATAGCGTCTTCACCGAGAATAGCGTGTTCACCCAGAGGAGCGTCTTCACTGAGACGCGCCTTCAAAGGGAAGAGCGTCTTCAAATAGCGTCTTCGGCGCCGGCTCGAACGGGGAACCCCGGTTGCCAGGGCAATGTATATATATATATATATATATATATATATATATATACATGTGTATATATATATACAAATGTGTATATGCATATCTATATATATATATATATATACATATATATGCGCCACCAGGCCACCTGGAACGCTGATGCGTGGAAGAATGTCAGTAGCTGTCGGGTAGGGTTTTTTGCAAGCTAATAAAGGACCGCCCCCCCCAATACCAGCGGGCTGTTGCATCCATCGAACCTCCTTTCAGTGGCCACTTTCTTCGTGCACGCTGGAGCATGGTGCACTTGCGGCATAGCAGCTAATACCAAAACCCCCATTCCACTCGTGCACGCTCGAGGACGGTGCACTTCCCGCATAGCAGCTAAAGCCTGAGACCCCATTCCACACGTGCCCGCTCGAGGATGGTGCACCTCCCGCACGGCAGCTAATGCCGGAACCCTCATTCCATGCGCGCCCGCTCGAGGATCGTGCACTTCCCGCATGGCTGCTAACTCCTGTGCCCCCCATCACACGCTCACCCGCTCGAGGATCGTGCACGTCCGTCATTCCCAAGCGCTGCTCCCAAGCGCTCCATGGCCTCCCAAGCAGCGATCCCTCGTCAAAAAACTATGGATATGCGTGTCCCGAGCTTCCTCAGGCCCGGCCCTTGGCAAAGCGGGCGTCAGCGCATCGTGTGTGGCTGCTGCCCGTCTTCGCGCGCTGGCGTTGCAGGGCAGGCTTTCTCCCTGCAGCCCACCGATTTCCTGTCGGTCGTGGACGGCCCTTTCGTTTGAGGCCGCACCTCAAGCTACGGTGCTACCTGGTCGTGGATTGAACTACCACCCCGGGCCTCCTCCGCATCATCCGGTGGCACAACGTTGCTCATCGCCTTCGTGGTGCTCTTCTTCCTCCTGGGCGTCGACCTGGTCAAGTGGCGCGTCCTCCCCTGCAGTGCTTGAGGCTGGTGTTCACGATGTGCCGTTGACGGCAACACCATTTCCTTCGCCTTCCGGGTCTTCGCCCTCGGTCCCTGTCCACGGCGCACCTTTTCCTGCACATCCACTTCGGCACCGCCTGCACCCTAGGCCCCGCCCGCTCCGGCCGCCTGAGGCCCCGCCTTCCTGTGTTCTGTCTCCCTGATTAAGGCTGTGCGTAGCCCGCCTGGCTTTTAGCTGAAGAGGTTCGCTCTCGCTCCGCAGATCAAAAAGTGTGTCCCGAGCTTCCAGGACGGCCCATGCAAGCAACCAAGGACACCAAGATGGCCCAAGATGCCTCGAAGACGGCCCAAGATGGCAAGGCGGCCAAATATTGATTCAAGACGGCCCAGGATGCCTCCAATAGGGCCCAAAATGGCGACAGGAGGAGCTTCAACAGGGTCCAATAAGCCAAAATTATTGATTTCACTTGGATGTTTGAATGATTTCTGCATTCTCGTATTTTCAGACTGCCGTGAGCTCAAGACGGCACACAAGGACTCCACGATGGCCCAAGAGGCATCCAAGACGGCCCCAACATGGCCAAAGAAGGCCTCCCGTGGGACCCAAGACGGATTTGGAAGGCCCTTCGACGGCCCACGACGGCGCCAAGACCGCCCACACGACGGCCCCCAGACACCCAGCATACGGCCAAAAGGACCCCAAGACGGTCCAAGAGAGCCCAAAGCCGGCGTAAAAGGGCCCCAAGACGGTCAAAGAGGGCCCCAAGGAACCACCATGACTGTCTCACGGGAGGGCAACGTAAGCATCATCATCATCATCATCATCATCATCATCATCATCATCATCATCATCATCATCATCATCATCATCATCATCATCATCATCATCATCATCATCATCATCATCATCATCATCATCATCATCATCATCATCATCATCATCATCATCATCATCATCATCATCATCATCATCATCATCATCATCATCATCATCATCATCATCATCATCATCATCATCATCATCATCATCATCATCATCATCATCATCATCATCATCATCATCATTCATTTTCATCAGCTTAATCATCTTCATCATCGTCATGATCATCACCACCACCAAAACCATCATCATCATCATCATCATCAGAGTCCTCATCATCATCATCACCATCATTATCGTCATGGTCATCATCATCATCATCATCATCATCATCATCATGATCATCATGATCATCATCATCATCATCATCATCATCATCATCATCGTCATCCTAATTATCATCGTCATCATCATCACCATCATCATCAGCATCGTCGTCATCGTCATCCTAATCGTCGTCATCACCATCACCATCATCGTCATCGTCATGAACGTCATCATCACCATCATCATCATCATCATCATCATCATCAACAGTATCGTCATCATCATCATCATCAGAAGCAGCATCAGCATCATCATCACCCTCGTCATCACCATCACCATCACCATCACAATCATCAGCATCATCGTCATCACCAGCATAAACGTCATCGGAAGTATCATCATCAGCAATATCAGTATCAGCATCATCATCATCGTCATTATCATCGTAAGCATAATCGGCATCACCGTCATCATCGTCATCCGCAGCATCATGACAGTCGTAGTCATCAGCATCAGCATCAAAAACATCATCATCATCATAATCATCGTCAACATCATCAACGTCATCGACATCATCATCAATATCTGCATCATCATCAGCATCATCATCAACATCAACATCCTCGACGTCGCCATCATCATCATCAATGGCCTCATCATCATCAGCTGCGTGATTGTCATCGTCGTCATCATCATCAGCAAAATCAGCATCAACGTCATCGTCATCGTGGTCGTCACCATCATCGGAAGCAGCAACCTCAGCAGCATCATCATTAGGATCGTCATCATCATCCTCATCATCATCATCAGCATCATCATCATCCTCATCGCTATCAGCATCATCATCATCCTCATCGCTATCATCGTCATCATCATCGTCATCACCCTCGTCATGTTCATAATCCTTATCATTCTCATCACGGCTGTCCCAAGCCTGATGAGAAAGTGACGCGGAGACGGCCTTACCCCCCCGGCTCATCACGGAGACGCGAGGTGCTACGTGTGACGGCCTCCCGTGCCCCCTCGAGCAGTCGCCACCCAGAATGCTGGGCTGGCACGGTGGCGGAACTTGCCGCTGGCACCTGGATATTTACTCGTACGTACATGCATACATACAAACACCATACAACAGAACATATCATAACATAGCATAGCATGGGGTGACATAGCACAATAGATCATAGTATAACATTGCACCGCATAACATAACATGCATAACATAACATACCATAACCTAGCATACCACAGCATATAATAGTGTAGCATTATATAATACATCAAACAGCACAACATAATATAGCACAGCGTAACATAACATGGTATGGCATAAAATGGCATAACATAACATAGCATAGCATACAATAACATAGCATACCATACCATAACATAACATGTCATAATGTAGCGGAATGCATGCATACATACATACATGCATGCCGCATGCATGCATATATACATAAAGACATGCATACACACATGCATAGATACAAACGTGCATACGTATCTACATGCATACATACATACATACATACATACATACATACATACATACATACATACATACATACATACATACATACACACACATGCATATACAAAGCATAAGGGGGAATTCACCATGATGCAAAGATGCTCGCGAAAATGTGCCTGGTGACATTCCCCCGCCCATGAGGAGCGTGCGCGTCAAGCCCGCAAGCAGCGGGCAAATTCTGCGCCAGCGACAAAGGGGCACACTCACGTCAGGCAGGGCCAGGAAAAGAGGCAGCAGGCGCCGCCTGAAAACAAGGCCGTTGGAGCCTGGACACGCCAAACGCGGCATGAGAAGAGTGTCGAATGGCCAAGCGCGCGTTCCACCACAGCATGCATCGCACAGGAGGCGGCGGGTCCGACGTGAACACAAAATGTGTACAAGAAGTAGTCCCAAGGGCAAGGATCCGTGGCAAAGGCATCTACAACCTCAACGTACGTCAAATGAGTCAGAACGAACACAAAGAATAAAGAAAAAGTCTTGGTCCGGTATGCGTGCAGAGGTGTATCGCCCTCGATCAACCCCGATATTTCAGTTCAGGAGACGGCGATAGCGAGGCAAAGCGAGACAAAGCGAGGGCTGAGGAGATGTAGGTCAAGATGGCCACAGGAGGAGACACATAACCAAAGATGGGGGCAGATGATATAGTTTACTCCGGGAGTCAGCCTCCCTGGACCACAGCAAGCACAAGAGCTGCACGCGTCCCTACAATACCGTACCTGAAGATGAGCAGCATCTCCAGGCTTACGGCCGACGGCTACCACGCAGCTATTTCACAACAGAGCCCGACAATACACCTATAACCTGGGACCGCCAGATGCATACAAGATGCAACTACTGCCGAGCAGGATCGCGCAGAGGCCAAGTAGCACCGCGGGGGCGGAGGCGCTGCGGTGCTGTCAGCTTCCAGCAGCGGCGCCAGGACGACGAGGCGCCTCGAGCCCGCGCTGGGTCGACGCACCGGGGGCGCGCAAGGTGTGCGCCTCCGGCATTACAACTCCTCCTCCTCCTCCTCCCCCTCCTCCTCCTCGCCCAGCCGCCCAACCTGGCGGGCCGCACTCCGACTAGGGAGCCGCCTCGAGCCCGTGCCGTCGCGAACGCCCAGCTGTCTCCGATCAAGTCGGGTTGAGAGGGACGCCCTGGGCCTGGGGTGTGCAGCTCCTGGATCCTCTCCGTCCCGCCCGCGGGAGCGTTCCTGGAGTCTTCGGGGCCCCCTTGAGCTTCCTGCGGCTCGTGATCATAATTCAGCACACCCGCGTATCCGGCTGTATACACTGCCCGGTTGTCCCATCCTTTCCGCCGTTCATGGTATCTTAGACTCCTCCTCCTCATCATCCTCCTCATCCTCCTTATTCCTGTCCTCTTGATTGCGTTTGTCTGCACCGATGTGGCACATGGAGATGAGCAGAGGTACAACCAGCTCAAGAGACGATGGTACACAAGGAGTGGTGGAGTAGAAAGCGCATAGCGAAACACACACGAGGAGGGATCAACAAGAGCCAGGAAAGTCATACAGAGGCGTAATTACCCAATCCACCCGACGCGCTTAGAAATATCAAAGGGCACGTGGATCCCTGTAGAAGGTCTGAAGGGAGCCGTTGCGCAGAACGCCTTCGGGGCTCAAAGAACGGCAAAATTACGATGCCTCGCGATCCACAGGACACCCCAGGGAGTCAGAGCCCGAAGCACAGGAGCAGGCGGGCGAAGGGAAGCGGAAGGAGAACCAGGAGAAGCGGCAGGGAAGCGGGGCCAAAAAGGAAGAGAGAACGAAGTCGGGAACGGGGAGGAAGAATTAGCCAGGGGAACCAGTGCTCGGTCGGATCCGCGTGTGAAAGGTCGCCTCCGCTGGAACCCCCTGGGGCGCAGGGAAGGGGCTAAGCTCATGCGCTTGGCCGCAAGAGGGAACGAGGGCAACCGCTTGGATCCGAAACCGTGCCGCGAGGCACCGAGTGGAGTGTCCTGAGGTTCCCTCGAGTTCTCTGTATGGAGAACTGGAATAATCTGCTTCTAAAGCCCAGGTCTAGGATTTCCAGGCGCTCGCAGGCGCTTCTGGGCCTTCTCGCGCAGCAGCTCTGGGGACCTCGCAGTCCTCCTTCCGAACTTCCAACATGGTCCAACATGGTCTCAGGGCCAGTCCTTGATCTGTCTTGGGTGCATCGTGGGCCGTCCTGGAGGCCCTGGGGGCTGTCCCGGGAAGTCACAAGCACTGCGGAAAGGCATAATTACAGGGAGGCCTCCCAGATCGCCCCAAGACGGCTTCCAAGCCCCCAAGAGGGGACCAAGACGGACCCAAGAGCGGGGGCACGAACCGACATGCGGAGCCCTGAACCCCAAGACTGTCTCTGAGACCGCCAGGAGGCCCTCAAGAGGCCCCCCAGGGGCCCCCAAGAGGCTCCTGGGAGACCCTCAAGGAGCCCCAAATAGTCCTCCAAGAGGCGGCCCGAGAGACCCCCCCAAGAGACCCCAAGACGCAGCTGAGAGGCCGATGGTCCACAGCCCAGGTACGGTGGCGGGTTGGGCGGAGAGCCAGTAGATCTGCGAAAAAACTACCCCACTGCACCCTCAAAGGGGCGCAGGGGAATGGCGACACTCGAACGTTTGGCAGCGTTTTCTCTCTTTCTCTCTCTTTCTCTCTCTCTCTCTCTCTCTCTCTCTCTTTCTCTCTCTCTCTCTCTCTCTCTTTCTCTCCCTCTTATTCTCTCTCTCTCTCTCTCTCCCTCTCTGTCTCAGCGGAGCCAGGGTTATACTTTGGATCTGCGTAAGGTGCCACCCTGCCACTCCGATGGAGCGCCCCATGGGCCCAGAAAAGACCCAGAAAGTGAAGGCGAATAGCTCGCATCCGCGCAGGACGCCAGTCCTCTGGACCCCACAGGAAAGTTCTGCGCTTAGAAAACCAACAGGCGCCAGAAAGTCGCGAGAGGAGAGGAAGAGAAAGAACAAGTCGCGGGAGGAGAGGAATAGAGAAAGAACAAGAAGAAGCAGAAGAAGAAGGAGCAGCACGTACTCTTCTCAAAACGAGGGCGCAACCATAAGGTAGACTGGAAAGTGAGCGACGAGGAGGAGGACAGGCGGGCAAAGGAGGGAGAGGCTGAAGAAAGGGAGGTGGGCCTCGTTGTGCACCTGGTCCGACATTGCCATGACCCTCTCACATGGCCCCTCGTCGGCAAACGCGCTCAACACCAAGGGCGGCGCCAGCCCCAACGCACGACTGAGGGGAAAAGCTGCGGCGGAGCTGGCGCCGGAGAAAAGGGCGCATCTGCACATGATTGTCCCCCCTCCTTATACCGCGCACCCCCTCCCTTCCCACGCACCTTGATACACCCCCATCGTTTTCCTATGTCCCAGCTGCAAACCTGGTGTGAGCACCCTATTTATCATTTGCTCTCCCCGGGAGGGCAGCTCGGTATCCCGTCACTAACATACTCCTCATCCTTTTCCTCTTCACCCTCCTCGTTATCCTCATCCTCCTGCTCTTGCTCACACACTTTCCCTTCGCCTCCTCATCATCATTGTAATATTCCTTCCTTATCCTCCTCATCTAGGGGAAACCCCTGGAAGGGAAGCTCGTGATCCATGGCACTGGATGTATCCCTTCATCGCGTGAACTACTCGCTATCGTCTGGTCATCATCGGGCGGATACTGCTTATACGCTTCTCCTCCTCCTCCTCCTCCAACTCCTCCTCCTCCTCCTCCCCCTCCTCCTCCTCCTCCTCCTCCTCCTCCTCCTCCTCCTCCTCCCCCTCATCTTCATTACACTATCACATGAGCGGATGTCGAAATTGCTCACATCCACCTGGCTGATCATCTTTGCATGTCGTTGCATGTCGCGCTCGTACGCTTACACTTCCTGCAAGGCCTCGCAATCATGCAAATGACTACGTACCGTTCCAACTTGCTCCTACCTGAATCTTAGTCCACTGGCTGCGAGTCGCAACCCCTGATGCGAGAGATCCGTAAGCGACATCAAGCGTTTTCTCTCGCACGCCTCTCAGCCAGAGACCGGTCCCCCTAGGGCAAATGGGCTACCTGCGAGAGGAGGCCAACGCGGCAGCAGAACGAGGAAGGGGCACTCAGATGATCGAGGGCGACGTTCCCTGACAGAGTACAGAGAACCCCCGCACGCCTGGAAGGAGGCAATACCCTTGCTTGCTCCGCGGGGCCACAGTTCAGCCGAACTCCGCCAGCTCGTCCATCCCGCCGCTGGCCGCAGCGACGCCGCCAGACGTGCTCTGCTTCCTGCGCTTCGCCTTCGGCTGGCCCTGCGTCTCCCAGAGGCGCTGAAACTTCTCCCGGGATGCATCCGCCATTTTCTTGCCGCGCTGCTTAATGTGCACCTTGGAGGCCTGGCTGCTAATGTCAGCATCGCCCCGCTGGTGGTACTGCTGCACCGTGTTGAACAAGCGCACGACACCCTGAGTGGCTATCTTGCGAAGGTTCATCTCGAACGCCTTCTGTGTGATGTCGGGGAGCGTATGGCCTTGGTCCTTCAGGGCCTTTCGCTGCAGGGCCAGGGCCCTCTGTTCCTTGAGCTCCTCCCTCTTCTCCTTCAGCTTCTGAGCGATCTGCGTGTCGCACAGCACGGGCGGCGCCTTCTGGTCCAGCTCCCTGCTCATGATGCTGGCGAATGCGCGGCAGAAGCCCTTCCAGCCCCCCTCGAGGGCAGGTGCCGCGGCCTTGTCGCCGTCGGCCGCCGCGTCCTCGCCGACACCAGCCGACGCGCCATCCGTGGCCTCGCCTCCGCCTGCAGGAGCCCCGCGCCGGCCAGGGGCCATGGTCGCCCTCTTACACGCCGGCGCGACTCCGAGGCCGTCCTCGGGCGCGAGGGCGAGCGCACCCCAGGGCGCTCCCGACGCGGCGCCGTTCGAGCCGAAACGGCGAGTAGATTCGGCCTTCGTGCAAGAAGGGTGGGGGTTCCGGTTGGCGGGCCCCGCTTACCATGGCGAGGCTCGACATCCAGGCGCGACAGGGGGCATCTGCGCACTACGCTTGGGGTCATGATCCGAACACGGCTGGAAACAAGCGAAGAGTTCGCCTGAGTCGTGGCAAGCACATCTGCTCATGAACTTCAGCTGAAGCTATAGTTATCAATGTTTGAATTAGATTTAGCCTTAGATCCAGTACCCGCGCATGCCTTGCACAAAAACGATGCTGCTTGGACTGGCTGCCAAAAAAAATCCGCCCGCACGGTCCTGGCCTTAGTCGCCCCTGTGTGCAGGTTTTCTCCGTTGCTCATAAGGTCCCGCCCACAGGATGTTCATGAGTGCGTGTGTGTAACTTTGTCGCCTTTGCCCACAAGTACAGCGTCGACACAAGCGGTAACCTACCCCTATTGTTGTAAGAGCACGGCGCTGCCAGAATCCGCTTTTGCGCAAGACGCAGGCGAACTGCCCGTAAGCTGCTGGGGCTGACTGGACCCAGCGGGAGGTCTTCAAGAGGCCCCGGGCCAGCTCGTCGCCCGTGGGCAGCAGTGGAGACAAGGTGCTGGCGAGCGCGCTTACGATGCTGTTGCGGAGCGTTCGCCCACGTGGGCTTGGAGGGAAGACCCAGCGCCAGTTGCCACCCGGTCAAACTCGGAGAGAGGGTGGGCAGGGTGTCGCGTCCCCTGGGAGGTTACGACGTCGACCCAGCGGCCGTGCATGCTGATGAAAAGGTCACAGCTGGCTTCGAGGCTGCTGACGCCAGATGAAACCAGAATAATTCCCTGTGGGCCATCGCCGGCGGTGTGGTTGGGGATGTAGCACCGTTGCCGCGCGACCGGTCGCCTGACATGGGCGTCGGAGAGGGGGCGAACAGAAAATCAACGAGAGAGAAAAGAGAATCTAAGAGATAAACAAGCGAGAGGCGATGGGTGGAGAGGAGAGGCAAGAAAGGAGAGAGGACGGGATAGGAACGAGGAGTCATGAGGGAAGACGGGGAAGAGAGGAGAGAGGAGAGAATGGGAAGACAAGCCAGGTGCGCTCGCGCCATATCTGCCACCATAGCCCTCCAACCCATCCCTTTCCATTGCGCTCAAATGTCTTTTATCCGCCAACGGGGTGTCCTAGCTTGCTTCGATTCCCGAAACCACACCATCCTTTGATGCGCAATCAGGAGGGTTCGACAAACGAGCAGGAGGACTAGCAAGATGATGAGGAAAGAAAAAGGAAGAAGAGGTAACAAAAGCAGCAGGAGGAGGAGCAGAAGGACCAGAAGGCAGAGGCAAAAGAAGGAGCACGGCAAGTACGAGAAACGAATCGGATCCACACGTGTGACTCGTGCTGGGGCGAGAGCGCAAATCTGAGCAACAGCAGCAGAGCGTCGGCCCTGAAACGCGGCCAACACTGCAACGGGGAAACCATTCTGAAGGACCACAAATAGCGCGATGGAAAGAGAACAAAGACATACCAGGAAGCTGGAAATCCACATGGCGGGATTCACCTGTGGAACATCCAGGGGCCACGCGCTAGATACACGTTTTGATCTGCGGCTCAAAGGACGATTCCAGACAGCGGGTCAATCTCGGCAGCGGCGCAAAGCGAGATGATTGGCAACGAAGGCACATAGGCCAACGCCGCGAATGCACACGCGAGGGACAAAATGAACCTCATTAGAGCCTACCCGGGAACGGGAGACAGCAGCAGACTGGAAAAGCCGGCGTAAGGTCGCACAGTGGCGCCAGCCCCCACAGACCAAGCCTGCGCGATGGCGGGAACAGGAGAGGCACCGCCAAACGCGGCGAGGAGGAGCGGGGGGGGGGCAGGCGCGGGGGGCGACGAGGGGAGGGGGGGGAGGAAACAGGGCCTCACTCACAGAACACCTCACGTGCTCGGAGCCAGGTGCGTCGACGATGGCTGGGCGTCGACAGCCTAGTCGTCAGAGTCCCAGCTTGCACCTGCCTTGCCACAGTGGATGGGGGGAACGCTGCGAGGTACCACGGCGGAACCACCCGGCGGGAGGCCTGCGGACCTGCCCAGGGGAAACCGCTGGGCGGTCGAACCACGTGCGCCGCGACTGTGGCAAGGGACGTTGGCGCGATGCGTACGCAAGCAACAAGTCCGCGTCCAGAGGAAAGGGGCGACGTCGCAAGCGAAGCCGGGGGCCCGCGAGGGCTCCGAACTGCCAAAGGATGGACCAATTGCACAGGAACGCAGCCACCTCAGGCCCGCCCGCCGCGGCCGGCTGGTGAAAGCGCCCCGCCGGGGGGGATAGGCGCGACCACCTCGGGGCGCGCGCGCGAACGTTGCAACGACGGGGGGAAGCCGAGTGACGCGTTACACCACGTCGGCGCGCGTGGAGGAGGGGGGGAGGCGCAGCCGATAGCCGCAAATCTGGCGAATAATTAAGGAGGGGGGAGGGGCAAAGACGGTGGGCCAGGTGGCGGCAGCGTCCGCAGAGGACCCGACACAGCGCTGCAGCGCGCGGTGCGCTTGAAGGGGGGAAAGTGCCCGCCAGGTGGGGGGGGCGACTCCACCTGACCGGGGTCACTGTAGGTGGTAGAGTGAAGAGTGCGGTACGGGTGGAGCACCTGGGGTGGGCCTTTGGCCTGCAGCCCCAGTCATCCAAAGTGAGTGCCCAATCGGGCAAAGACGGACCATTGTCCAGTGAGGACAAGACCATAGGGAACCATGGGAGTGGATTATTTCAGCCGGCCCCCCACGGACTATGAAGCCACGAACAAGCGTGGGAGTCCAAACGCAGCGCGGTGGTGCAAGTGCACCTCAGCCCCAAGAGGTGGCACAAGAGTATTAAGGCCACGGCCTGTCACTGCGGTGAAACTAGTCCCCGTCGTGTAGGGGCCACCCACGGAAGCGGTGGCCCGTGGGGGACAGCCGTCCGCGTCGTCTTTATTCCTCACCAGTTGCGTGCCTGCGCGCAGCAAAGGGGCGGTCGAGGACCATAGCGCTGCCGACCCACTGGGCCCCGCATGGCACAGAGGGGTCCCATGTGGCCAACAGGGTCAGCGCGATGGAGACCACTTTGTATAGGGAGGTGGAGGCTGTCCCCAGCGGACCGAGGTCGATGTTGTCCAGAAAGCAAGCGCTGCGTGCGTTCCGTGACGGGCTGAGTGGCAACTCGGAGCATTGGCATGATCAGGGGGGAAAAGGTCTCGAGCCGCAGACGAGCTGCACGGGCCAGCCCTTGAGAGAGCGGGGAAGGGGCAAACGTGCCGGTGGGAAAGCGAGTAGCGCACATACCGACTGTTCCCAGTCAGGAGGGCCGACTCCCCCGGCCTGGGGGGGGGGGGGCCAGGTACCCAGTGGCGGGCCCGGTCGCGCTCACTTGGGGGCGGAGTCCCATCGCCGATGGCGTTTGTCAGCGCAGTGGGTACCCCCTCTGGGGGGAGACCGTTTCCCCCTGGCCCTCCAGTCTGCGTCGACCCATGCGTCCTGCTGGCGGCCCCACCCGTCCCAGGATTGCCATGGACCCCAGGAGCGGCCGATCCTGATGCGCCTGTCTGTGCGGCAACTCTGTAGTCGGTGTACAGTGGGGGGGACCATGTAGCCTCTTTGCTCTCGTTAGCCCACGGGTTCCAGCGTCCTCCTCCAATGGGCCCTCCCGAGGCAGCTGCCTGCGAGGCGCCTTTGTCGTCGGCGGGCGGCGGGGGGGTGGTGGACGCACCATTGTCCTCGTCGGCCCAAGGGTTCCAGCGACCGCCTCTGATGGGTCCTTCGGGGGTACGGTTTTTCGTGTCGCACTGTATGAGCTTGCGCTGCTTGTCCATGATGCTTGGCCATTCAACCTGCAGGCATCATAACCTGCTTCGCTCCATGCCTGGAGGAACTCGTCACACTGCTGCACCGCATTCTTCCTGGGGTCGGACTTGATGTTGACCCATGCGCTCCCTTGCTTGTTTCCTGCCTTACGGACCCAGGCACTCCAAACTCCGTTGAAAGCACCTCCCAACGTCTTCTGCAACCCTATGATATTGTCCGTCGCTGGCTCGTCCCTTGTGACATTTGCTTCATTGATGGGCCGCAAGTACATGGGGAGACCACCCATGGGGTCATCCGAGCGCGCTGGTGGGATTGTTGCTGACAGCGCGTCGCGCCCCCGTCCCGAGCTGCGTCGTTGCCTGGGCGAGCTGCGGGGCGGAGGGAAAGAGCGGCCAATGGAGGAGTCTTCGGGAATAGTGGGAGGTCGGCGGTCTGCTTTGTTCCCCGTGAGCCTGAGCTTCCTGCCGTCACTGACCGCGTCTGCGAAGACCCGCGCATACTGGGGCCAGGCTTGCGAGTCGACCCTCAGGGGGGGTTGGGACCACAGGGGGGGAGTACTGCGGGCGGACTGACGGTTGTTCTGTCCTGGAGTGTTGGCATCATCTACCTGGTGTGCGGGGCTGGCCTGCACCTCGGAGTCGGAAATGTCTGGTGGGCTTCCGTGCGCCTGGCCGTCCGGGTTGGACTCATCCCAGTCGAGATCCTCATAGTCGCCACCACCGCTTCCGTACTCATACGGGGACGGCACGTCTCCTGCGTACCCGTCGGACCGGCCTGGTGCGACGGGTTGTTGGGGGGACGCATGGCCAACTGCGTGTAAAGAGGTAAGGCCAGACTGCTCCTCCTGCGGTCTGTTGAGCCACATGGCTGTGAGGGGACCTCCTTTATTCAGTGCCACTGGTCTTTGCCACCTTGGGCTGGCCGGCGAGGAGCTCTATCGTTCCTCCTGGAAGGTCATCCTCCATCCCTGAGGGAAAGAGGGTGAGTGTACTCAATGGCTGTCGGTGGGGGCACTGTCCTTTCTGGTTGTCGAGTTTGTCTGCGAAGCATTTCCATTCTTCCTGGTACTTCGGATTGCTCTCCACTAGGTGTGCGATAACCCTGGCAGCCGCGGCCCTCTGTCCGTCCCAGGGGATGCGCGGGGGATGGCCGTTGCTGGGAATGTCATCCCCGTAGATAGTTTCCAGAAAGGGCACCAACTATTCGAGGGACCACCCCGATTCGTCGGTTACCTCGCCCACAATGTCTCTTCCCAAGCGCTGTGCGTGGGCTGCCCAGATGGCGTAGATTGCGTGGCTCCACTCAATCAAGTATTTTACCAACGCGCGGAAAGGGCCTCTCGACTCATCCCCTGCCAGACGGAGGGTGGAGTGCGCGGGGAGTGAGGGCGCAGTGGGCGGTGGTAGGTCGGGAAGCGAGTAGCTGAGGGTGACCCCTCCAGCTGAGGCCCCTTGTGGTTGCCCGGTGGGGGGCTGTGTTGACCAGCTGTCGCCTGTTGGAGTTGGTGTGTCAGGGCCTGCGGCTGTCGCGCGGCTGGTTGTGGAAAGGTGCGCGGACATGTCGTAGATGCACCATTCGTCTGTGATCTCGCTCATGGCCGGCCTTTTAGTCGGGGAGGCTGGGTATATCTCGCTGGAGCACTGGTCAAGTATTCGATCGAGGGCGCTTGGGGCGATGTCCCAGATGTGCACCAGGCACCTCCTGCATGCCCAGCGGGCGTTCCACTTCCTCTGGATCCTCAGCAGGGGCATTGCGTCCCACGGCGGGAGGCCTGTCTGCTCGTTGCAGTCAGCGTCTGCCTCTGGGCGCCATATGGAGCAGCCAAGGGCTGGTGAGCCTGGCGACCACTCTAGCAAGGGGGAACAGGGGGGACAGGTGTCACAAGAGGCCGAGTATAGTTGGGTGAGGTGCACTTCGGAGCCGAACCTGCCGTCGGTGAGCCTGTGTGGTGGGAGTGTGGTGCCTGCGCTGGCTGGTTGGAACTGGCGCGGCGTGCGCATGACGAGGTTCTTCAGGGAGGTTGGGGCTGGGGCGCTAGATACACCCGGGGCGCTCAAAAAACGGCCTGGCCTTCGAGGAGCGAAGGAGTTGTCATCTCTTCCGCGGCGGAAGGGCGGAAGTAAAACGAGGCCGCCTCCGCCGGCGGAAGCTGGCGGAAGCTCGGCGGAAGGGGGCGGAAGCAAAAAAATGCGCCCCCGAGGAATGGAAACGCTTTTGGGTTTACGGTGGTCAAAATCGCCCACATGTGGGAGGCCAGCGCGCCGGGCCATACAGAGGCCGAGCGCTGGAGCGACGTCTGGCCTTATGTGCATCCATCTCTCGCCCAGGCCAGCCGCGGCACGCCCATCTACAGGAGGAAAATTCAAAAATAGTCAAAAAATAGTCTGGGGACGACTTCTTAATTATGTTTAATGAATTTTGAACATGTTTTGCGATCTTTCATTTTCCTTCCAAAATCCGCCTGAGGAGAATGCAAGACATCGCGCGTATAAAACAAGACCAGACGCGGGAGGGGAGGGTGTTAGCCCGCGCGGATCCGAAAAAAGTGAGCTCACGCACCGTGGCTGGATTAGCTATGTGGGCGACGAAGGGAAGCTGGTCTTACGCGAGATGGCATAACGACATTACGCCGCAGCTCACGCAGGCCTCCGGCGCGATACGCCACATGAGACGAGGGCGCTAACGCGCGACCTTACGAGCGAAGTTTGCGCGCGAACGTCGGTAAAGACGACCCCCTGGTGCAAGTTCGAGGCAGCAACGAATCAGCAAACGGGCGGCCACGCAGGAGGCAGCAATGAGGCAACAACGGGCGGGCGGAAGGGCGGCGACGACGGGCGCATGCCACGTGATCGGAGGTGGTTCCAAATACTGGTTGCACTATGCAATCACTGTTTCTTGCCGAGGTGGACGTGGGCTGCTGCGATTTACGCATGGGCGTCGGTGGTCTCGGTGGTCCTGGAGCAAGAGGTTTTTACCCCCATTATGATGGAACTGGTTGGCTGGTGGCACGCGCTATTGGCCTGCCGCTGGCATGGCTGTTGCGAAGTCGGGCGGGCGTAACCTGCGCAATTGGTCACCGAGTGGCCCCCTTTCCCTGGGCGCGGTTTGGTGGATTATGGTTTTCCACTTGCCTTTGCCCTTGGCGCGGGGTGTCTTCGCTTAGCTGGACATTGCGTAAGTCGATTGTCCCGGTGGCTGCCGCGCGCGAGTGCCCTGGTCAAGAGATGCGTCGCTGTGCGAAGCTCTTGTTGAGCCTGTTTGTATAATAGTTCGCGCCATGTGGCTACCCGCAATAGTGCACGCGCCTGCGCACGTTTCCCCCTCCCTCGGCGGTGCCAAGCCGGGTCAGAAGTCAACGAAGTCGTTGTGCGACTGCTTGCAACACGTTGCAGTATGGGCGGGGTCACTTGTCCCAAATGGCCTCGCAAGTGTTGCGAGTCGGCGCGGGCGTGCGACGCAGCGGTCGAAACTGCGGCGGTGCTGAACCGAAATGGACGCGCGAGTGGCGCTGTGCTTCGCAACGCAACGGCAATAGCAACAGATACAAAATGTAAGAAGTAAAGGACGTTGAGTGTAAAACGTAAAGAAGATTATCGGTTGCAAACGTTGTGAAAGGAGGTGAGCTCGCGGATGGCCCCCAACTGTGCTGGCGCGCTGGCGCGGCCTTGGCACGCCGCGGTTCCCTCCTCATCCCCCTCCTCCTCCTCCTCCTCCACATATTCCTCCTCTTCCTCCTCCTCGTCCTCCTCCTCGTCCTCCTCCGCCTCGTCTTCCTCCTCCTCCGCCTCCTCCTCCTCCTCCTACTACTCCTCCTCCTGTTTCTCCTCCTCCTCCTCCGCCTCATCCACCCCTCCACCTCCTCCCCCTCCTCCTCTTCCTCTTCCTCGTCCTCCACGAGAAGGTTTTCGTTAAACTTGACCTCTCCAACGCGTACAACATCCTGGACAGACAGGCTTTGCTCAGTGCCCTCCACGAGGAGTTGCCCACCTTGGCGCCGCGGGCCGACCAGTGCTACTCGCGCCCGTCTTTCCTTCGCCTTGGCAAGCACAGGATCCGCTCGGAGTGCGGAGTCCAGCAGGGCGACCCTCTTGGACCTTTGCTTTCGCCCTCGCTCTCCAGCGGCGCGCAATACAGGTCCTCCATGCCGCCCCCGACCCTGCCCGGCCTGCGCCCCCGGGCCAGGTCGCCCTCAAGATATTCTTCCTGAACGACGGGACCCTGGCGGGCGACTGGTGCGCCGTGGCGCACCTCCTCTGCGAGCTGGTCGCCGCCCTCGCTGCGATGGGGCTCGCGCTCAGCACTGGGCCCGGGAAGTGCGAGGTGGTCCCAGCCGGCGGCTCTGACAGCGCAGTAGACATCAACGCCTTCCCGCAGGGCTTCCGCCTCCGCACGGACAGGAACTTCGAGTTTCTCGGAGCGCCTGTCGGCGACGACGACTTCTGCTGCCAGCACGCGAAGAACCGGGTCTCTGCGGCACAGAAGCTCTTAGACACGCTGGGGGCACTGGAGGACGCGCACGTCGGCCTGCCAGCGCGAGTCATTCTGCAAGCCGTGCTACAGCGCACGGGTGGCGCCGCCCACCGCGCACACGGCGGCCCTGCAAAAGCTGGACGACAGGGCGAGGGTTTGCCTCGAGCAGGTGGTCGGCTGCTCGCTCACCGACGCGTCTTGGCGACAAGCGCAACTCAAGCTGCGGAAGGGTGACCCCGGCCTGCGCTCAGGCGAGCAGCACGCGTACGCCGCCTACGTGGCCTTCCGAGCCGCCTGCTCCGCGCTCTGCAGGCAGCTCTACCCGGGCCATGGCGACGAGGCCGGGCACGACGGGGGCGCGCTCGCGAACGCGATGCAGGCCCACAACGCCCTCGTCTCAGACGCGAACAGGGTGGCCTTCGACCCGGAGCAGCACGGCAACCAGCAGACACTCAGCGACGCAGTGGACGACGCAGCGCTCGCGAGCCTCCAGACTGGCGCTTCGGTCGCCACCCAGGCGCACCTGAGACTGCTGTAGGCGCCCGGCGCTGGCGCCTACCTCCTGGCGCCACCCTGCGAGGACGCGGGCACCCGCCTCCAGCACGGCCTCTGCCAGGCGGCTGTCCAGCGACGACTCCGAGTCCAGCTCCTCGACCACGAGGACTTCTGCCCCGAGTGTGGAAAAGTGATGGACGTCTGGCTAGACCATGCCTTTGTCTGCTCCTGCCGAGGGGACAGGACAAAACGGCACAACGCGCTCCGGAACCCCGGGTTCTTCAACGCGCAAAGGCCGGCTTCACAGGGGCAGAGCTAGAGCGGCCAGGGCTCATTCCACCGCGCGCCGCCAACAAGGGGCCGCTGGGCGGCGAGCTGGACGGGCAGGACCTGGACGCTGGCGACCGCCGCCCCGCCGACGTCTACTTGCCCAGGTGGCGCAACGGGGGGCCAGCAGAATGGGACTTCGCCGCCACTTCCAGGCTTCACGCCGACCTCCTCCCCGTCTCCGCCCCGTCTCCCAGCGCGGCCACGGAGCGCTACGAGGAGTTCAAGCGGCTACACCAGGAAACCGAGCGCCAGTGCGCGGCGCAGGGCCTCACCTTCATACCCATGGCGGGGGAGGCCCACGGCGGCGGGTGGGGGCGCAAAGCTAGGAGAGCCTTCGCGGCCCTGGCCAAGCAGGTGGCTGACGCCACTGGGGAGGAGGCCGCCGTGGTGGCGGACCGGCACGCCCAGCGACTCTCAATCTCCCTTCCTCGGGAGAATGCGCGGGCGGTGCCGCGGCGGCTGCAGACGTCGACGGGGGCGGCGGGCGCGCGCCTCGCAGCGGCCACGGCGGCGGCCGCAGCCGACGCCGTGTGAGTCGCAGACGGCGCCAACTGGTCATCCACCCCCCTTCCCCTGACGACCCCTGACCCACGTCGTCCCGCCGCCCACCCCCACGACCCACGACGACCCCCAGTGCCGCGACGACCCACGACGACCCCCTAGACCCAGCCCGCCCCGCCCGACGCCCGGCGGGCCCTGCTACGACGGCCCCCATACCCCCACGCCCTCGACGACCCCGACGCCCCCCGAACCACGACGACCCACGACGACCCCCCGATTGCCGCCGACGCCCCCCGCCCCACCCCCCATCCCCCACCCGCCCCCAACGTGCGCGCTTGCCTGCTGATGCCTTTGCCTCCCCACTCTCTTCCTGCATGTTGGCGTCTGCTCGCCGTGTTTTCCCTCTTTCCCCCCACTTTTTCCTACGCCTCCTCATCCTCATCCCTCTCCTCCTCCTCCTCTCCTCCTCCTCCTCCTCCTCCTCCTCCTCCTCTCTCCTCCTCCTCCTCCTCCTCCTCCTCCTCCTCCTCCTCCGCTCCACCGCCTCCTCCTCCTCCTCCTCCTCCTCCTCTTCTCCTCCTCCCTCCTCCTCCTCCTCCTCCTCCTCCTCCTCCTCCTCCTCCTCCTCCTCCCCCTCCTCCTCCTCCCCCTCCTCCTCCTCCTCCCCTCCTCCTCCCCTCCTCTCCTCCTCCTCTCCTCCTCCTCCTCCTCCTCCTCCTCCTCCTCCTCCTCCTCCTCCGCCTCCTCCTCCTCCTCCTCCTCCTCCTCCTCCTCCTCCTCCTCCTCCTCCTCCTCCTCCTCCTCCTCCTCCTCCTCCTCCTCCTCCTCCTCTCCTCCTCCTCCTCCTCCTCCTCCTCCTCCTCCTCCTCCTCCTCCTCCTCCATCCCTCCTCCTCCTCCTCCTCCTCCTCCTCCCCCTCCATGCATGGCGCGGGCGCGCGCGCCTGATGGCGGGGTATGGTGGCTCACGCCACGCGGCCGCGTGTTCGCCCCGTGCGCTCTCGCCGCGCGTCGTGCGCAGCGGTCGATTCCCCCTTCGTCCTCGTCCTCTTCCTCCTCCTTTCGTTTTTTTTTGTCTCCTCTCTGCGCTGCGGCGGGCGCGCACGAGGCGGCCGGGCGCGGCCATCAGAGACTTGTTTTCCTCTGGCCTGGATCGGGGGTTGCGGCTCGCAGGCCGGTGGCTCGGCGCGCGTCCGGTCCAGCCGCAACGCGGTGCCGACACGCGGCAGCGGCTTGGGGCCATATTGGGCACACCCCGCGCGCCAGCCAATGCCTGTGGATGCCGCTTTCCACATGGTGCGTGACGCAGCGTGCCCAAAACATGCCTGGGTC